GCTTAACCACTTGGAAAGATCGTCAGCAGGCATCTCTTCAATCGGCGGTGCTGATGGTTCAGGCCGTGTCCTAACAGTCACTGGTGTATTTCTGAAGACGCGCCTAAATTTTTGATAATAAATGATCCTCGACGATAACTGAAATTACAATTAGGAACCAACTGTTGGTCCATCGCAGTCGTCGACGGACTCTGTCCAGGCCTCCATGCCGCAGGCTGTCCCCCAGACGGTAGATGGTGCGGTGTATACGCTTTAGTCGTTTGGGGGAAGCGGGGGTGCCAGTCTCGTTCGTACTTTATCTCAGGATCACTACTTGATCTCCTTGGACTTGAAGGAACAGCCACAGTGACATCATTTGAAAGGGCAGGTGTGCGTGGACCATTGACTGTAGCACCTCGGAATGATTTCGGCACTGCAAAACTTCAAGTAAGCAAGTTTCTCAGTAATATGTCACTCCGATGAGCAGGACTTCGATGACAATTTTGGAATGAACTGGCCAAAGAAACCTAAATAGGCATTCTACCTAGAATTTTTGAAAGTTGATCTATCAAAAGAGATTTGAAAATCATCCACTAAAAGTATTTCTCGACGATATTTTATAAATATCGTGATTACTAGAATACTGCCACAAATATTACCTAGAATACTGCCACAAATATTACTATGTAAAAATGGTTTCCAACTACAAATTTCGATGAGTACAAATTTTTCGAGATTTTCATACAAGCAGTACGCTCAAGCTTTGCTTTGATGAAATCAGAGCAAAACACCTGAACTAAAATGTTTTGGAAGTCAGACTTACCAGCTGGATACGGTAGATTAGACGGTGTTGGGCGCGGCATTTTGTCGATAGCGGGATAGCCTGGAACAGTGGAGCGACCGGAAGAAAGTGTACCTCCGCAAGGAGCCTGACCACTGATATGTGTGGTAATAACTGGAACATTGGTTGTAAAAGCACTTGTTGGGGCTTCAGTCACTGGAGGTGCTACCTGAAACATATTTAAGTTCACTTCCGTTAAGAAAAGAAAGAACGAAGAAGCAACCTTTCACATTGTTCTCTACCCCATCCCTATTCTGCGATACAGATCAGCTTCAGCTTAGAACGCCCAAAAACAGTGTAGCAAAAAAAAACCTGAGCCTCTAATCGGTGCTCTTCAATATAATGAGCGAAGAAAAATATAATGCCCTCTTCGCCAATACAACGTCTTTCTTATCAGTTTCTCCTTGAGTAAATACAACAACTGATAAGAAACGCACCAAGCTTGGCCTCCTGCGGCCCAAATTGAACGACCTCCGCACTTTTCTTCGAATGCTCCTCATGAAATTGGTATTGGTTGCTGTTCCCATCCCAGCATGACATGCAAATAGCCGCCTTATAATTCCTCTCTGCTCTCTAGTGCTTTTGGCAAGCATTCGCTGAAGAAACCTGTAAAAGCATGAGCTTATCCCTAAGGTATTGTATCTGGATTTGGTGAGCAACGTGAACCTCGCTCCTAACACATTGGCGACAGCGCGGCAAATGTATGCCACCATTTACTGGCCACGTTGGACATTGGGTCGACTATGTGCTTCATACCCATTACATATATTTTTGATGCATGCCCTTCTTACCAAGTTTTGTGTGCATTCTATAGACTATACATTAAGATAACCGAAAACGTTATGGCCAAACATGCTTTAGTACGGCAGGAATCTTCCAAGTTTTACGAGAATGCCTGCCAATGGAAGTAAATATGCATTAGGTCGTGAAGACAGTTCTAGCGCATTTGAGCGTTCCATTTTTAAATGCTTTATTTTGCCTCGGCTTCAAGCTTGCTGCCACCTTGCTATATGCCATTTTGGAGAAGATTTTTGTCCTATCTAACAATGCGGTCAGTTTTGTTCTGTATCATTTGGTTATCACTTTTTGGAGCTTTGAATACGGCATACTCGAAAAATAAGTTTCCCTTTTCTAGCTCAAAACAGGCCTGTAATGAGAGGAAGCAGGTCAAGATATTACAACTGCACTTGGCTGAGATTCGCAATAAATATGGTCTGAAGCAATTGCTCAAAAGCTTTTTCAACGATAGCGAGAGCCTTAGATATAATGAGGGTGGTGGACAATGCCAAAGATTAGCCGTAACGTTCTGGTGAAGCACGTTTGCACAGAACTATTGAGAAGGTTCCTCCTAAACTAGATCGCACTTGCATTGTGTTTTCTTGTTGTACGGGAAGAGCTGGAAAGTCCAAAAATTTAATAAGGGCGTGCCGCGACAACACTCCATTTCAAAGGGCCGCCCGCCGCTTTTGAGCTTGTTTTTTTTCCACTCGTTCATGACAAACGATGAAGAGCGGATTCATTGTTACAGCATACGAACTTCTGCTGAATGTATCGACCGCGATCAGGCTCTACAAACTTTGCAAAAGTGAAACTGTCACTGAAGGAAGGTTGAGGTGACCTTTCATGAAGGTCGTCGCCTTTTCCAGCTCTTCGGGAAAAGGCGAGAACTGTTGATGTGGGAAGTTGATGTACACTTGACTGTATATCATACTCCTAGACTCCAGCAAATTAGCCCGCTGTTCCTCATTATGAAGGAACTAACTCATCCCTGACAGGTGGCTCGGACGCACATCGCACAACCAACCCTGCAGAAGTTGAACCAGCTGGGCTACGAATTAGTCCTGCGAACATCTTACTCGGTAGACCTTTTGCCTATAATTGTCACTTTCTCGACTACCTGGATAGCTTCTCCAAAGAGTTATGCTTCAAAAACCAACATGATGCGGAAACGACCTCCGCCGGGTTCATCGTCTCTAGAGCTCCAGTATTCTGCACGACCGGGCTGATTCAACTCATTTCTTATTGGCAGAGGATTATGGATTGTAACAATTTTCGCTTCAAAAGCGCAAGAACTTTCTTCACGACCTGATACAAACCCATCCGAATGACAGGATATGTGATCTACTGAGACAATCTAGCTCAGAATTAAATCTGTAATCAGTACAGTGAAAAAAGTTAAATTGGCCTTCCCGTAATCATAACACATCATTTCGGTTAAACTTCCATTACTGTAAATTCCGATAGGGCAAACACATTGAACATTACTGAAAACATTATGTCGCATCTGGGTTTTGCACACTCAGAGGTTGAAATCCACGGATGTGAAGTGAGTTGATCGCGCTCGCAAAATTGTGCCGGTCTCAAGCGGCCAAAAAATCGCAGAACGCTGGCAGGATGTTGTCAATGTGATTCAATGTGGTATTTAAGCTTGAGAAGAACTGATTTTGAAGTTTCGACCTCTGTGTGTTCCCGTTGCTCGTAGCCAGGTTCTTGAGGAGTGCGAACCGGTGCAGGTTGTCTGGCCAGTGGATCAGGCCTCCATTAGTGCATCAACAGTTGTGCCATTGCTAAGCAGTCGTAAGCGCAAGTCACATGTAGCGGTGTCAACCCGTCATCCGACCTTGCACATTGGATTCGCACCGTGAGCTAAAATCAAGCAATCATCAGAAATCTGATAAATTCCTGTGGAAAATGACTTACCCAGCAAATTACGAGCCGCATCAAGCGCTGTTGTGGTCGAGCTGCTGGCCAGAAGATGTAATGTGTTGGTCATTGGTCGGCTAGGTCGATCATACGGTGTCTGTACAACAAACTCCTTTGATAAGTCATTGCAAGCGGAAGTTTACGAGATGGAAGGACCGACAGAAAACGGAAAAGCGTACAAGAGATAGAGTTAGAGCGACGGTACTGATAACACGATCGAGAATAAGTGCACTTTAAGAGTGGTTCGAACGGCATTACACTGTATAAAAAACAATAATTACGATAAGGTACCGATTGGAACGTGCAATTAAGTATAAACAAAAACAAACAGAACTTTATTGTGCTAATGGAAGAAAATAAGCAAATCATGTGAATGATCAAAGCGTGTGAAAGCAAATCAAAAGTGAGAGCAAAGTGCAAATAAAACTAGAGAAACATCAAATATGTATGTCGAACCAGTAGCAACACCTACACAATAAACAACCTAATAAGTTGTGCATAATATTAAGTGAATCGAGTGCAAAGGCAATAAAATTTGGTTAAAGATTCTATTACGCATTTGATTACAGCACGGATAGCCACATAAAACTCTCGCAGAAGTTTAATGTCAGTTGAAACCCATAACTTCCAAAACGTTAAACAATCAAACGAATCCCACCAAAATCTCCCGTGATCAGAAAAAGTTGACGCTGCATCAAACTCTAACAAACTTCTATAAAAATGGGCATACAAACGAGTGAATCACAGTGAATCGAAGAAGTAACCGTACACTATTGGCACATGTAAAGGGTTCTCTACCCTAAATCCGAATTTGTAGGCAAACAGGTGATTTAATAGCAAAAGAACTGATCTACATCTACATCTAGAGCAGGAATGGAGGTAGTGCTGGAACATATCAATAATCCTGTGGGAGGATTTACACAAGGCGCCAAGGTATGCTCAAACTAGAACAATAAAAGAAGCTGTGGGACATATCTACAGTCAAGTGATCTGAACAGAACTGTAACATAATAAATCTAACAGTATAACCAAATTTAACGAACACGAATCAAACCGAGTTTGT